AAGTATAGGAGCTCTCAATCTAAGTTCGACACAGTTATTGAAAAATATTTATCTCGAATGGCAAAAAACGCCTTTTTTACGTTCCGTGGAATTATGTGAAATTAACATACTACGAAACACTTAACTTTCTACGACAGCACAGTAACATATTACGAAAAAAACGAATTAGCATGAGATCACGACAAACGTGACAAGAAATTAGCCTAACATGATTTATCACACTCCCAGCCCAGTTATAGTTTTCTCTTCCTATTGAATTGAGTTCGATCGTTTCTATTCTGCTTGTAGTTGTTCGTGATTGATAAGCAGGGGCAAAGGGCGGTGTTGTATCTCTTGTCGTGGCATTTGGAGCATCCCGAGTTCGTTTTGCACGTTCCTTCATGTTCCTTTGAAAAGCATTTGATACAAAGGTTATTGGTTTGAACATATTTGTGTCGGTCTCCCACTGATCAGATGATATGGCATGAAGACGAGTCTTTGTGGCGCTTGAAGAAGACGCAGTTGTCCGCTTGATTTGCAGTGATGTGTTGCTTCAACATGTAGTAGAAATCATCTTGGTTGGCGACTAAGGCATTGAGTTTTTCAAAGAGAGTATCCAAGCGTTGGTCGATGGCTTCAAGGCGTTGGTTTTGAGAAATAGGATCGGGGAATGTAGGTTTGTCGAGGATATCTTTGTCTTGCATTTTTGGCGTGTACACAGTACAACTTCCCCCACGCGTGGTTGTGGTGATCCTTCCCACTTACCTTGACGACCTGTTCTTAAATACCACATGATGGTCTGATAATTAGCATATTTATAACACATTCCTTTCGCTCTTAATTAGCATCCTCTTGAAGTTCTAGCCGGACTAAAGAAGAAACATGACGCCGATACGTCTTCTGATCGGGATGTAGGACTATCACGCTTCTTATCTCTCCTCTATCATCCACTTGTAGCTCTTTGATGATTCCAAGATGCCACGTTCGTCTATCTTCCTTGAATTCTGTACACAGTACAACTTCCCCCACGCGTGGTTGTGGTGATCCTTCCCACTTACCTTTGGTAGTTTCTCTTAACATTTGAAAATGCTCCGTGGACCATTCTTTCCAAAATAACTTGAGTGTCTGTTGATTCTGATTACATCATATCTTTCACTTCTTTAGCAGAGCCCTTATTAGTGCCCTCGCTTCCTACTAAGGAGGATGAGTTGATCTTTTCTCTTTTATAAGGAAATAAGAGTATTTGCGGTGTGATGTATTGCCAATCGTTGTTGTTACTATTAGAGACGAGTGGTCTAGAGTTGACGATGGTCATCGACTCCGTTGTAATTGTGCAGAAACTAGACAAAGTTATTTCTCGTTTGTTTCTGAAGACGTTGGTAAGACATTTCTTTATTAATCCCATTATTCTTTCGTATAATCTATGGCGCTAAAGGGGTAATGAATCTCCATTGTATGTTAGCCATGCAAGACAGATGTTCAAGAGGAGGTGGAAGTTCGTTACGATTGTTAAAGAGTCTGATTAAGGTGTTATGTGAATCTAAGTTATCAAGATGACCTCTCTTTGATTATGAAGGGACCAGCTTCATCCATACCTATGTAGTTGAACGGTATCGACGGAACGCAACGGGACTGAGGTAGCATTTGAAACGGGGGTGTAGGAAAGGGTCTCTTATTGTTCCTCTTACAAAAATAGCACTTTGAGATGATGCTGTTGACTGTATGTCTTGCTGGTATAGGCCAGAATATCCTTCTAAGTTTACTAGGGGTGGTTTTTGAGCCACATTGCATGTTTTTCTCATGGAATTGAATGATACAGGCTTCAGCGAAGTTTGACTTTCCTTCAATGACCCAGGGATGTGCAGCGAAACTATCATCCTGATACTCCTGTCGTATCCTGCCTCTCATAACCATGAGACCATAACGGTCAATAGAAAGATCTAGTTTCATAGCCTCTATTTTATTTCTGCTAAAGACTCCGCTTTGTTGATGTGCTATGGTCATGATGACCAGTGCTCCCTCATTAAGACCTTGACGCGAGTTGCGGCGTATGAGTGTCAGAGCAGCAAATACGTTTTGCAGGCGTGCTTGGAGCGCTGGTTTGTGGCTTAGGCGTTCAAACAGAATTTGAACTACGCATCCTAAAGCTTTATACTTTAAAAGTGTTTTAAGATAAGTTGTTGGTTCTTCTGAGGTTATAATATTGTTTAGGTTGTGTCGGGGAATTGTTGCAGACGAGACGGTCGCAGCAATTATAGTGTTTTCAAATTGGAACGGGTTGGCTATTTTCTCCTTGAATTCAAGACTATCTAGGTCATGCATGGGACCTCCTTTCCACCACTTATCACTTGACAAAAGTTCGTGAGTGGAACATCCATGTGATGCTAAATCCGCGGGGTTCATGTTTGTAGGAATATAAGCGAAAGTGACACAAGGTATGTGTTCGTTTATATAATCGAAAACTTATTTTTTGTAATCTCTTACAAACGACCCAGTCGGTAGATTGTTTAGTGTTATGAACCCAGTGTAGCACAGGTTTAGAGTCGCAGAAAACTTTAAGTTAATCAAATTTGCTAGCTTGAAGTATCTTCTTGAGGTTTTGCAATGTTACCATTAGCGCGGTCATCTCTAGACGAGGAATAGAACTTTCAGGCGACGTTAAAGCTCTAGCTGCTATCAGTGTTGTTGTGTTTCCTCTTCTAGCGTATATGCAGTATTCTACTGCGGATGCAGAAGCATCAATAAAGGCTAGCAGGCTCGTCTTTTGTGTAGCGTCCTCTATCTGAAATAGGAACCTGGCTATCTTAAAATGATACATGATTTCAGTTTCCCTTTTAACTATATTGAACCATTCATCAGCTAACTCCTGATTTCTAGGCATTTCATCCAGATTGGTGTTATTAACCCACAGTTTATTCATGCTCAACCTTGGACGTAAAGTAACCGGCGTCCAAAATCCATGTGGGTCGTATATGCTTGCTAGAATGCTTAAGGCCCAGCGTCTCGTCGGTTTGTGGAGAGGTCTAAGTTCGGGTTTTTTCAATGAGAATGTATCTCTTTCGCAATCCCATCGCAAGCCTAATAGATCTACTTCTTTTTCGGGGTTAACTTTGTTCCTAGGCAGTGCTTCAGTTATACTTGGGATGTTAGAGGAGTGTTGTCTTAGGTTCATTCCTGTCTCTTCGAACCATGCGATAGCTGTGTTGTTACACCTCTTTTTTTTGAAAGGGTGATGACGCTATACCGAACGGTAGCCGAGTGTATCGAAGGAACTCTATGGTCTCACACCATATATGTTTCGTTTCATCCGAAACCCATAATATACGTGCGAAATCTCTATCCTCCTTGTTAAGGTCAACTTGATGGAATGCCTTTGCTATGTCAGATATGACGAGGATTGGCTTGAGTCTTGATAGGATTAACAGATTACGCAGGTCGGGGATAATATTAGGTCCGGGTATTAGTATTTCATTCAAGCTTCCACCTCTTCTGCTTTTAGAGCTAGCGTCTAGCACGATCCGAGTTTTGGTTGTTGCGCTGGATTCTTTTAAGACCGCGGCATGTGGGATGTAGTAGTGAGGTCTACTTGTCCTAACTTCTTCCGTCGGAACTCTTTCTAATATACCTTCCTCTAACTGAGTATTAATGAT